AGATGTCTGGAACTCCATTAAACTTCTCTGAAAAGAAAATGTCATTTCCAGTCTCTGAAACGAAGGTAAGATTCACTTGTCAGTCTCAAAACTGGAAAGGGAAATCACAAGGGCTAACAAGTAGAGAGAGGTACTTTTCTGTATACATAGGCCCTTCACCCTATTCAGCATTTAATATCTTAACAAATTGTTTCTTTTAGAACATCTACCAGTTAGTTGCCCTCTATTCTAACTGATTACATCATTCAGCAATAGAACCAGAAGTACAGTTTAGACAGTAACAACATTGCAAAGAAAACAGCTTTGAAAAACTGAAAAACTCTCACTGATGTAATGACCAAACTAGACTCCTGAGGACTCATGAAGAATCATGTTACTCACCACCTAACAGAGGGGTGATAGAATCAAGGAGCACAATGAGACAAACATTTTTGCACATGGCAAATAAGTAGGGTTTTGTTTTTTTTTTTTTTTTTTTTTTTTTTTGCTTTACTGTGCTTATCTGCTACAAGAATTGCAGGAATTTTTTTTTTCTTTATTTGGGAGGTAGTTACAAAGGAGAGGGGAGCTAGCGATAGTGTTGTCAAAAAAAGGAAAGAAAGAAGATCATTGATGCATTTTTAAAATTCACAGAAAGAAACAGACAAGCAAAATAATTGAAAATAATGTGTTGAATTTGTTATATACTTTTTTTCAAAAGGCCAGCTGTACATAATAGAAATTTGCAGCTCCACATGTCATTCTATTTTTCTGTTCTACTTTGTATAAACATTTTTTTGGTGTTCTTTAAATTCAGAATCTTTTTTTAAGAAAAAATTTTAAAAGAGAGAATAAAAGACTATCTTGTTCCAGGGAACTGATATCTTTTCTCAGGCCAAAAATGTAGTGTTCTCAATGAATGAAAGTCTTTTTTGCTCTTTTGAATCATCAAGCATTTATTAAATACCTACTATGTGAATGAATGAATGAAAAAGAAGGCAAAGGAGTCTGAGAAGGAATGGTCACATAGGTAGGAAGGGAAGCAGGATGGATCTGTCATGGAATCCAAAGGAGGAAAGAGTATCCAGGAGGAGGAATGATTGACAGTATGAACATCTACAGAAAAGTAAAGTATCATGAGTACTTAGAAAACACCATGGGATTGAGCATTTAAGAGACTGTTGGTCATCTGAAATCAGCTTTAGTTGGGAAGGCAGATTACAAAGCAGCTGAGGAGTGGGACATAAAGAAGAAGCAACTAGTATAGATGACTTTTCCCAGGAATCTGGCTGTGAAAAGAAGAGATATAGAATGATAGCTTGAGGGGATGTCAAGTGGGAGATCTTGCCATATTTCTAGGGACACAAAAGAAGCATTATAGTGGGAACAAAAGATTGAAAATAGAGAAACAGAGACACAGAAAGACAGCTAATCACCTAAGGGGCAAGCTCCCGTAGGAGAAGGAAATGTTGGGGACCAAGGGCATCAGAAATGGGGTTATCCTTGGTAAGGAGTCTTCCCAGACAAGAGAGGAAGAGACAGTTAAGGGATGTTATAAGGTAAGAAGCAGGAAAGATGAGGAGGTTTACCATAGATACTTTCTCCAAAAGCAACAGTTGGGGCCAAAGTTGAGGGATATGGAAAGGGGTTGGCAAAAGGAGGTAAGGCAGGGGGCTTGAAGAGAGAGCTGAAGGTGTGGTGAGTGCAGATTGAGATAAAGGAAAGAAAAAAGAAAGAAGGAGAAAGGAAGGAAGGAAGGAAGAAAAGAAATTACCCCTCTTTATTATTATTATTAATTAATGTACCCCTCTTTCATTACTGGAGTTTATACATGTTGGTGGTTAAATTGATCACTGTTTCAGTTAAATCCCAATTCAAGTGAATCACATTAAATACATACAAAAGTCATATAGTCAATCCGAATCACAGGTGGCTAATTCTTGCTTTCTGATACAATAGACAAATAGTACAAGTACACAGAAAATGTTCTTTATTATCACATTCCTTTTATGTCTTTTTTAGGGTCTATTCTTCCTCCTCCTCTCCCGTAATTGTGAGTATTCCTCAAAGTTTTCTCTTCAGTATAATCCCTCATTTGGAGAACTTTATTTGCATCGATGAATTCAGTTACCATCTCAATACAGACAAATGCCATATTTAGATCTCTAGTCCTAATCTCCCACCTGAACTCTAGTCCATTTCCAACTATCTGCTGCTTATCTGTACCCTGGATTACTAGGGTTACCTCAAAGTCAACATGCCCAAGACCAAACTCATCATCGCACCGCATTCAACACTCCCCCTCAACCTCACAAAATTCCCTATTTCTGCTGATGGCCCAAATAGTCTCAGGCAATCTTGCTTAAAGTCTTAGAGCCACCTTTGAGTTTTCCTTCTTCCTCACTCCACATATCCATTAACTCATCAAAACCATTATCACAATCTCCATTAGCCTCAGTTCTTTCATATGTAAAGTGGGGATGGTAATGATAATAACTGGTACTGAAATTCCTTTCACTGATGAAAATCAGCAACTTTTTAATTTAGAGTTCAGGGAGTTTATTAGGCCACACAGAGAGGTTGAGTAATTTATCTAGAATCAACACAGCTAGTATGTATCAGAGGGAGACTTTGAACCAATTCTTTCTGACTCCAAAGCTGATTTTATGTACTATACCATGGAGTGCCTCTCTTATAAGGGTAACTAACATCTTAAAATTTTCAAAGGAAAAAATAAAAACAAAACAAAAAAGCTTTCAAAGCACTCTATATACAGTACATCTAAATACATTACTTCACTTAAGCCTCACAATAACCTTGTGAAGAAAGAACTAAAGGTATTATTATTCCCATTTTACAGATGAGGAAAATGAGAAAAGTTAAGTGTTTGTGTACAAAGTCACACTAGTATCAGAAGTAAGATTTGAACCTGTTTCTCTTGACTCCAAATCCAAAATTCTTTTCATGATACCATTTTGCTTCTCTAATAATGATAATACATATCTTACAGGGTTGTCGTGGGGGCACAAATGAGGTAGGCCCACTCTCTCAGTAATCTTATCAGCTTCCATGGATTTAACTACCATCTCCATGCAACTGACTCCCAGATTTATATTTAGTCCCAAGCTCTACTTTAAGCTTCAGTCTCAAATGAACAATTGCCTATTGGACATTTCAAACTATGTATGTTCATTCCTGTGAGCTCCTTGAGAGCAGGAACTTTTTTTTGGGGGGGGGGGGGAGGTTGCTTTTCTTTGTATGCCCTGGTGTTTAGGTACAGAGTCTGCACATAGTAGATACTTAATAAATGGTTAACTGACTGAATATGTGCAAAATTGAATTCATTACCTTTCTCCTTAAACCTTTACCTCATCCAAACTTCCCTATTTCCGTCAAAAGCACTGCCAGCTTTCCAGGCTCTCAGGCTCATAATCAACATCCTTTCACAAACTTTATGTTTCAGGCAAGCTGGACTACTTTTCATTCCCTTTGTCTTCTGTAAGTTCTTCTAACTCATCTAACTCATTGCAACTCTTCATGCCTGGAAGAGACTCCTCCCATGCTACCTCAACTTCATCTGTGTCAGTTGAAATCCTTCCCTTCCTTTAAGGTTTAGGTCAGGTGTCACCTCCTTCCTGAAGCCTTCTTGGATCCCTCAAGTTACATAAGTCTAGCCTGATAACTCCTTAAGGAAAATGGAGTGGCCAGTCTTATGGCTTTTCTACTGTTCCTCTTAACGCGTTATTCACAGTTTCTTTTGGAGAAAGATGCACCGGATTCCAAAGAGATCTATCTATGCTTCCCTGCAAACTATATTTAGACTACCCTTGTGGCATACATAATCTTCACGGTTATGTAAGCAATTTCTCTCTTCTCAAATCTCAGACTATTTCTGTACCACCACACTACATCTTACTGTTACTTCTGTATTTATTTTGTTCCCTCTACTCTTCTAATAAATGCTTGTTGATTAAAAGGGAAAAAAAATAATGTAAGCCCATTGAGAGTTGGGTTTCTTAGATTCTTTGTATTGATATCTCCAAAGCTTAGCACAGTGTTTGGCATATAATTACTCTGATTTTGGTGAAGACTAGGAGATATCAAAATGACTTCCCAATCAGGAAGATTAATCCAGGGGCTTAATCCATGGTCATGTGGTTTGCATTTTTGTCTGAGATCTTATATGGCAATATAATGTATCTAGGACTATCCCCGAAGAAATAATGTTTATGCGAGACAAAAATAATTGCTTTATTATTACCAGAAGCACACACAAGCTAGAAATTATCCCGAGGATTGGTCCCTGCTTCCAGTACATAAGGATGTGCCATGAAACTAGTTGAGGGGTTCTTTGTGTGTGTGTGTGTGTGTGTGTGTATGTATGTATGTATGTATGTATATGTGTGTGTATACCATTATATTTCAATGTAACTGGTTACTTCTGTAATAAAAATATTACTCTGAGAAGGGGTCCATAGGCTTTACCAGACTAGTAAAGGTTGACATCCAAAAAGGTTAAGAACCCCTGTTCCAGAAGGCGAAAGGAGATAAGCTCAAGAGTTTCGAGAGCCAGAAACACCAATTCTTGATCCGGTTAAATTCTCCACGTGCCCCACTCCTCGCCCCACTCGTCGCCCACAAGGCGCCCGCTTTCGGGGCACCAGCAGCCCAAGCAGGGCAGGAGTCCGCAGGGGGCGGGGCCAGGAGGCAGGTGGGGTGACGTAAGAGTTTGCTGGGTGTCCCCCCATACATTCTAGAAGGAGAAGCCCGAGAGTGTACTACGCTCCCCCCCACCCACCCACCCCGGAGACAAGTGGGGAAACCCACCCCAGGAGAGGGAGCTGTAGCTGAAGACTGCCACCCGTCCCAGCGCCTCCGGCGTGGGAGGGGAGCAGGTGCGTCCTCGCGCCTGGTGGCGGCGGTTGCCAGGGTAACACGCTCCCGGAAGTCCCCTGAGCCTCGGGGAAGGCGAGCCTGACCGGCGGCGGCACCTCTTGCAGTGGCTGCGGTCGCGGCGGAAGATGGCGGAGGGCGGGGCAGCTCGCCCGGGCGAGGACCGGGAAGAGGAGGCTGCGGCGGCCCCGGCCTCGGCCCCGCCGACCCCGGGTGGGCATCGCCAGGAGAAGAGGCCCTCGGGGTCGCGGGCTGGGCCCAGGCCTCCCACCGCCCGCGACTTGCAGGTAGGGAAGGAGAGGAACGCCTGGGGCAGCCTCGGCGGAGCCAGGCCCAGCTGGGGGGCGAGGGGGGGGTGCAGGGGGGGGCTCCGGCCCATCCTCCTCCCCTTCCCCCACGAGCTTCTGCCTTCTCCCCCTTGTGCACGGGGCGGGGGCTCGAGCTCGAGTCTTGCCCTGAAATCCACCCTCGAACCCACTCCCCAACCCCGCGAGCGCCTCCCCGCCCCGGCACTTTGCTCTCTTTACCCTTCTGCTTCCCCCAAGAAGAGGGCAGGGGCTCGGGGCAGTGGTGGGGTTCAAGGAGGGCTGAGCATCGTAGGACCAAGGGAGGGAGGACAGGCCAGGGCTCCCCTAGCTCCCCGAGCCTTCTCCATTGTCACCGCGGAAAGGCACCGTCGCCCTGTTCCTTGGGTCAGGATGCACGAGGGCCAGTGGCACCCTGTGGAAGTGAAAACTTTGGAAATTAGATCCCGGACCTTATTTTCTCATCTCTCCCACCAGATTGCTTTTCCCGTTCCTCCTCCTCCACTGCAGCCTATTTTATCTCCCTATGCAGTTGTTGAAACCGGATTAGCAGCAGTTCTTTTGCAATATTTTGTGGCTCTGATTTCACGGTCTCAGCAGTGTTATACAAATTTTATCCGGAAGAAAACCTTCACGTAAAAGATGTATACATAGAAGCATGGGTACTTTAAAAAATATATATATTGGTTTCTCTACATCCCTGGACTATTTTAAAGAGCTGAAATTTTAATAAATATTTTAGGAGCTTTCCTAGATAGCCTTTTGTTTCTTCCATTTTAATAAGCGATGATTATTGACCGTTTTTCCTTGAGAGGCTGTTGAGTGGTATCCTGGGTCAATCAGTAAACATTTATTAAGTGTCTGTTCAATGGCAGGTAGTGTACTAAGCGCTGGGATTACAAAAAGGCAAAAGGCACTCCTGCCCTCAAGGAACTCACAATGTAATAGGAGAGACAAACAAATATGCACAAACAAGCTATATACAAGAAAAATAGGAAATAATTAGAAGAAGGAAGGCATTAGAATTAAGAAGGTTTGGAAAAGGCTTCCTGTAGATGAGATTTTGGCTGGGGGAAGCCAGTAGGCAGAAAAGTAGTGGATGAAGTAAGTAACTTCAAGAGTAAGTAACTTCTGGTCAGGAATATCTGGGTTCAAAGCCGGCTATTGAAATTAATGAGCTCAGTGACAGTCTTTGAGCCTCTATAGATCCTTTTATCATGCTGATAAATTTAAAGAAATGAAGTGAAAGTGTAAGCATGAGCCTTGCAAACAGTTGAGAGAAACATGGTTGGGCTGGAAAACATCCTTAAAAGAGAGAAACAATTTGATACTATAACAACTTTAGAGTTGTTAAATACAAATGCCCGGCCCAGGAAAGCTCATAGTATAGTAAAATTCAATGCTTTTATCTGCTCTACTAGACAAATTTCAGCAAACACATGGTTATGTTTTCCATCCTTGAAAATCTATCTCAGGAAAGAACATTCAGTCTAGATCAGTAATACATTTTAGAAATAACTGCAGTTCCTAAGCGAAAAAATTCTTCAGTCAATTCATAATATCATTAATATATGTATGTGCATATATATACATATATTCTTTTCAATTCATCCATCCTTTTTCATCCCATGCAATTCTAGTTACATCCTCCCATAAACCTGCTTTAGAATGTCTATCCAACTCACTGAAGACCCACAGTTATTGTTCACTCTATGATTGCCACACTTACTTTGCAAATAATACATTTCATACATTCCCTGGATGATCTCTTTTACACCATTCCTTGTGTAATTCTACATTCTTTTTCTTAATTAAAAATGTTTTATTGATGCATTTAATTTTTTTACACCACAATTACTCCTCAGTAACTCTTACCCCTTCCTCAATCATACCCTTCCTTTTATTAAAAAATTAAGCAAAACTGATTTAGCAACCAGGCCTCATACCATAAAGAGAATGTACCATTCTGGACCTATAGTCCACCAACTCCAAGAGGATATTCCAACATCATTTCTCAGTAAATAATGTTAGTCACTGTATTTGTTCTGAATTATATTGTCTTCATTTACATTATGATCATTCCTTTTACATTATATTCTCCTTACATTATAATCATTTCTTTGCTCCATATCAGTTCTTACAAGTTTTCCCAGGTTTCTCTGAATTCCTTATATTTATCATTCCTCAGAGCTTAGTACTCAATAATACTCAAATACTACAATGTATCCAGGTGTTCTTCCCATTGCCCTTTGGGTCACTCAAAATTTTGATTCTTTGAAACTTATGATGTTCCATTACTTATAGCTGTATAGCATAATATCCAACTAGAGTCCAGATACTAGTTACTTGACTCTAGTCTACTAGAAAATATTCTTGTTAAAAAATTTGTTTTTGTATCGAGAAACAGCTTTTCACTAAAAATACTGTATAATTTCCCAGTGGCATTCTAGTCCTCTTTTATTCTTCCATTATATGGAAGATCGATTAGAGTAGGGAGACACTTGAGTCAGAGAGATATACAGAAGAAGACATTGCAGTGAGGTCCTGAACTAAGGTGGTGGCTGTGTGAATGGCAAGAGAGATAGATGGAAGCTATTTTTTGGGGACAGAAGAGCAAGATTTGTCAGCTGGTTGGATATAGTGGGTGAAAAGGAGAGAGAGAAGTCAAGATTATGAACTTTGGAGATCAGAAGGATGGTAGTACCTTTTCTGAAAATAGAGACATTTGGTAGAAATAGGGGTTGAGGGGTGAGAGAAGATAATAAGTTCTGGTCTTTTTATGGAGTTTGAGACATCTTTGGGACTTCTGGTTTGAAATGTCCAGCAGGCAGTTGGTTATATTGGATATATTGATCTTTGAGTCATCTACATAGGGATGTTAATTGAACTCTTGGGAGCTGATGAGGGTCGCTAATGGAGAGTTTAAAAAAAGAGTGAAAAGAAAAGAAGAGTGGACTAGGGATAATACATGTAAAATGAATCAGTTCGGGGAAGCTAGGTGGTGCAGTGGATAGAGCACCAGCACTGAAGTCAGGAGGACCTGAGTTCAAATCCAGCTTCAAACCAAACACTTGACACTTACTAGCTGCGTGATCCTGGGCAAGTCACTTAACCCCAATTGCCTAAAAATAAAAATTTTAAAAAATTGAATCAGTGAGACACAGATGATAGGCCAACAAAGGATACAGAGAAGGGGCTAGTCGGATTGGTAGGAGAGCCAAGAGAGAGCACTATCATGAAAACCTAGAAAAGAGAGCGTATCCAGGAGAAGGTGGTCATCAATGTCAAACCTTGCAGAGAAATCCGAGAAGGGTGAAGACTGAGAAAAGACCATAGAATGTGAGACTAAAGAGATGGTTGTTAACTTTGGAGAAAATAGTTTTAGTTGAGTGATGAGATCATAAGCCAAATTGCAATAAGTTGAGAAATAAGTTAGAGGAGAGGAAATAGAGACTTATTTAAATAACATATTATTAAATTCTTGTTGCATGATTGTTAAGGTATCAGTTTCATTTTTTTTTTGTAAAGATGTGTAGTAAAGGGAAACCTACCGCTTCCCAAAGCACAACATTCCACTTTTAGGTATCTCTAGTTATTAGAAATCATGCCCTTAATATTGAATCTAAATTTGCCTGCTTGTAATTTCTACCTATTATTCCTACTTTTACCCTCTGGGCCAAAACAAGTTAAGTCTAATCCTTCTTCCTGGGGACAACCATTCATATTGAAGAAGGCTGTCACATCCCTCAAATCTTTTCTTCTTGTAGCTAAATTTCCTCTGTTCCAGTCATCTTATGGTGCAATTCTCTGACTATTTACCAGCCTTTTTACCTCTTAAACATTCTCCAACTGATCCATTTCCTAATTAAAATGTGATTCCCAAGACTGAATATAATACTCCAGATGTGTTCTGACCAGGAAAGAGTGCCAGCAGCATTCATTTGGTAGAGGACATCCTTCACATGGCTACTCAAACAATTTTCCTAATGCTCTAAACTGTAAAACCTTACAATGCAATATGATTCCATTATTCTATAAACATAGTTATGTTGCTCAACTTATTTTTATTTTTGTAACTTGACATTTTGCAATTATATCTCAAATGTATTATGGGAACTTGCTATTTAAAGAATCTTTCTGGTAAATATTTTTCAATGAAAGAAATTTTATTCAATATACTGTTCACTCCCTAATTTATTTTCTGAGTTCCAATTTTGGGGGTATTGTGTTTTGTTAAAGCAGGACACAGCAATGGAATGAAATTTTGCAATTTACCAAGTCTACATCATACTTAATTGCTATAGCCTAGTTAAAAAATTCTCTTTTAAGACTGTGTTTTGCATAAATTATGACTTCATCACTTTTAAATTACCATTATGTTCTTATGACATAAGATGAAAGTGATTTATTCCAGGAATCTGATTCACTGTGGGAAACTACAATAAAGTAACTCTGACTCTGAATTCAAGTGCTTCCTTAAGTGTTTAGTACAGTTTTAGTAATAGTGGACTAGCCTACTAGATTGCCTTCCACCTTCCAACACTGCAGAGGTAAGGGGGTGGGGGCGGGAATTGGGGATCAAGATTTTCTTCCTGATTTAATGTTCTGTTGAATAGATTTTTGGGTTAGAGAGTTGGGATGCTCAGGAAGAGAGGCTTCCATAGCCTTAGAAGCTTTGAACCATGCTGTGATATGCATATATGTATATATAAGTATGTGTTTGTATACATATGTATCATTTGTTGTTGTTATCATTTTACTTGTGTCTGACTGTTTGTGACCCCATTTGGAATTTTCTTGGCCAAGATACTGGAGTGGTTTGCCATTTCCTCTACCAGCTCACTTTACAGATGAGGAAACTGGGGCAAACAGGGTTAAGTGAGTTGTCCAGAATCATACAGCTAGGAAGTGTCTGAGTCCAGATTTGAACTTGGGAAGATGCGTTTTCCTGACTCCAGGCCCAGCACTCTATCCTCTTGCTAAGGACAATCCCTCTACGTATATGTTTAAATCCATCCCCTCCCAAACTCTCCAGCAAGCTACATCCTCAATCGTCGCCACCCCCCTTCCCAAATATTCAACCTATCCTTATCGACTCATTTCTTTCCTATTGCCTTCAAACATTCTCAAGTCTCCCGATCCTTAAAAAACCTTTACTAGATCCCTCCATCTCCTAAAACTATGTCTCTTCCACCTTTTTCAGGTAAACTACTTTAAAAAGTTGCCTGTGTTTGCTACCTCTACTTCCTCTCCTGTCATTCACTCCTCTGCAATCTGGCTTTCAACTGAAATGATTCCCTTCAAATGAGCAGAGATCTCTTACTTATCTAATCTGATAGTCTTTTCTTAGTCCTGATCCTTCTCGACCTACCTGTCAAATTTGGCCATTTTCTCCTGCTTGTTTTTCCTCTCTGGGTTTTCGTGACACTATTCTCTCCTAGTTTGCCTCCCTTTCTAACTGCTCCTTCTTAGTTTCCTTTGTTGCCTTATTGTCCACACCACACCTCCTAATTGTGGATGTTCTTTGAGGTTCTCTCTTGGGCCTTCTCTCTCTGTTCTCAGAAATGGCATAAGATTCTGTGAGTTTAAATATCATCTTTATGCAGATGATTCTCATCCATATACCCAGCCCTAGTCTCTCCTCTTAAGCTTCAGTCCCATATTTTTGTTGTCATTGAGTCGTTTCAGTCATTTGGGGTTTCTCCTTGGCAAAGATTCTTGGAGTTGTTTGACATTTACTTCTCTAACTCATTTTACAAATGAGGAAACAGAGACAAATAGGGTTAAGTGACTTGCCCAGGGTCACACAACTAGCAAATGTCTGAGGCTGAATTTGCATTCAGGTCCTCCTGACTATGTGGTGAACACTCTATCTACTGCACCAGCTAACTGCCAATATTACCATTTCCTGTTGGACATTTAAAATTGGATATGCTAGAGACTCTCAAACTCATTTAAAACTGAGTTCATCCTCTTTCCCCCCAAAACTCTCTTACAAACTTCCTAATTTGTCAAAGGCACTACTATCTTTCCATAAATCAGATTGAATATCTCAGCATTTTCTTCAACTCTTCCCTCTCTCTTACCCATTTGGAATCTTTCTTGCTAACTAACCAGCTGTGTGAATTTGGGCAAGTCACCTCACTGGGCCTCAGTTTCTTCCCCTGTTAAGTAAGGAAGTTTGAGTAGATGATCTCTAAGGCTTCTCCCAGTACCAGAGTTCTATTTTCAATTTCTTTTTTGTATTTGTGTGTAAATATAATATATGTATATATAAATACACTTTAATTTATATATAAATACTTATTGTATGTATGTATATATATACATGTATATACACATATACCGAAACATATAAAACCTTTTTGAATTTCAATTTCAAAAACAAATTTATCTATACTTCCATTTGTAAATATTTGGATCTATTCACTCCACAAATATTTGTTAAGCAGTGACTTTGTGTACATACTCTGCCAGATTCTAGGGCTGCAATGATTAAAAAAAATGACATAGTACCTCCGTGCAAAGAGTTTATTTTATGCTTGGTTGGAATGTACATAGATAAGTATTTCACACGGTGTAGGGAATGGTAGGGGCAAAGGAGAGATAGAGACGAGGTGCTCTAGAAAAATTTGAAGAGGTAAGGAACGCTTTTACCTGGGAGAATAAGGAAAGGCTTATGGAGGTGGTAGCACCAAAGCTCAAGGGAGAAATATTTTGAAAGGTATGAGGGAGTGCATTCATGAGTGCATGAAGTAGGAGATGGTATGTCAGGTTGGCGAACAGTTAGTAGTCTAGTCCAAATAGAACAGAATAGAACACTTTTTTCCTTTACTAGCATAGTAGCCTGTGTGGTCTCTCTGTCTCAAGTCTCTGTCCCCACTTCAGTTCATCTTTCATATAGCACAGGACTGACCATGGCACTTTTTTACTTAATAAACTCAAATGGCCCCCTTAGGATGAAATGTAAACTCCTCAGTTTGGTTTTAAAGCCTTTTGTGACCCAGTCCCAACCCACATTTGTAGTTGTCTTATACATATTACTCCCCTTCCCATCCTGTACTATCCAGCCAAACTGGCCTATTGTTTCACAGGATACTCCATTTCCCACCTCCATGCCTTTGCCCTAGCTATCCTCCATTTTTAGAATTCACTTTATCCTTATCTCTGACTTTTTAAGAGTCCTTACAAGTTTCCTTCCAGGCTCAGCTCAAGCATCCTCAAATTATCTCATATTTATTTTGTATATATTTATAGGTACATATTGGTTCCTCCAGTAGAATGTGAGCTCCTTGAGGACAGGTATAGTTTTATTTTTTGCTCTTTATCCTCAGTGCCTGGCTCATGATAAATGCTTAATAAATGCTAGTTGACTGATTGAGGTAGAATAAGATGAAATAGGACTAGTAAGTTAAGTGATAGCTAGATTGGGGAGGTTTTTAAATGTCTGCTGGGCTAAGAGGTTTCTGTTTTATCCTGTTATCGCAGAGGAGCTTTGGAAGATTTTTTTGAGCATAGCAGTACATTGTCAGATTTATACCATAGGAAGTTTCTTATTTTGGCAGCTTTGTAAAAGAAAGGGGAGAAATTCAAGGAAGAGAGATCAGTTAGGAGGCTGCTGCAGCATTTTAGGCATAAAGTGGTTGTCTGAACTAGGCTGTGCTTTTGTGGTGAGATGGTTTTATGTCATTTATAACTACATGTGTTGTTATTAAATTCTTAATTATTTTCTTAAACTTAAATATGAGTGATATAGTATGATAACTAAATAAAGTATAAGGAATTTGAACAGTTTAGTGTTATCTATACTTCAATAATTTAATAGCTTAGTTAAATAATTTTATGAAATTTAAGAAAAAAATAAAAATCTAGAAAAAAATTTACAAAGGCATTCAAGAGAATAAAAAGTTCTTTAATTAAAAGCAATATCATTCTCACTTTTAGTGTTTGGAAACATTAAACAGAAAAGTGAATATAATAAAATTTTTATAATTTTTCTCTCATAGTGTATTCCTAAATTAACCCATTTGGTAATAATTCTATTTATATATTAAAGAAAAAGGTCCCTCTCCTCCCTTATAAGTAGAGTCAAATGTTCCTGTTCTGATTGAAAAGGAACCTTTACCATTTCCTTAGTAATACATATTTTGTGTGTGTGTGTTTGGCTTTTTACTTGACCAGAAAAGTTTATTTCTAGTGTTACATATTTTTACAAGCCTTTTCTATCTTGTAGTTGGCCTTAGCAGAATTATATGAAGATGAAGTTAAGTGCAGATCATCATTTCAATCTGACAAACCCAAAGCTAAAATATTTAAAAGCCCAAGAACACCACCTCAAAGGTAAGTGTTAAATTCTGTTATATTGTATTATTAATCTTGAGTTTATAATACGTTTAGAGATTTAGACTAGAAAAAATAACTTCAAGTCATTTTTCATGAAATTATGATAAACATGAGTCATCCTAGTACCTTAAATTTTTACGTATATTTTAACATTATTTCCAGTAGGCAACATATTGCTGCATTGTTTTTTTGTCCATTCAGTAATCCCTTTCAGTCAGTCATTCAACATTTATTGAGCATCTTCTGTGTGAAAACCTGACTCCTTTGTCTTCCTTCTTATTCCAGATGCCATTCTTGGTCTGGGATTGTCCTCCCTCATTATTCTGATTTTGTTTTCTTTCACTTGATATCTATAGCTCAAATTAACTTATTCTACTTAAGTTTAATTCAGTAGTTAACCAAAAATATTACCGTTGTTTCTAATTCCCCTGTGGTAATTTAATTGAGAGAACCATTTCTTTACACATTTGCAAAGTGTACCTGTCAATTAAAGTACTTATTACCCAAACTGCATGAACAATCAAGTGCCACAAGGAGATAGATAGTCCCCAAAGGCTCAGGAATAGCAGTTTCCCCAGTCTCCTGTCCCTGCTTCCAGACTGGTCTTTGCAGCGTTAATCAAGGTTGTAATTCTGTGGAGAAGGGACCTATCATCCCCAACAACAACCACCAATGACTGACTACCCCTGACAAGGCAGACAAACCAGGCTAGCAGAAGCAGCAAAGTACCCTAGGGCAGAAACGGGAGGTACCAAGTGCCAGGTGAATCAAACCACCTGGACTCCTACATCCTCTCAGAATGTGATGAAGATAACCTAGGATCCCAAGCCCAAGAGCCTCATAAATATCAATGCTCATCTTGAGACCACCAGCCCTTCTTCCCACTTGACCTTTGCAGATGTGATTAGAGGGAGCCATTCTCTTGGGAAAAGGTCTCAACATCTCTCCTAGCACCAGCATGTTTCTAGTCAACTGCCACAAACAAGTAAGTAAGCCCAAGATCCCTGAAGTCATCTCTACTTCTAGCCTAACCCGTGCATACTGTGAGTTCTCTCAATTTGCAATCTAACCTTTATTGTAAGTATTTTGTGGAAATTTTCTTATCTTATTTCCTGAAATACCTTCTTTTCATTGCAGCATGGTGCTATGGAGTGAATGTTAGTTTTGGAATAAGGAGGGGCCTGGTCTCAAGCCACTTAACCTCTCTGAGCCTTAGGTTCTTAATCTCTACAGTGAGGATAATATCTGGAGTATCTTCCTCTTTCAAAGGGTTATTGTAATGAGAGATCATATGAAAATACATAGGTCCTAGAGGAGAGATCCTGCACTTCTGGTAAGGTGCTGAGGAAAGGCTGTCCCAACTAGACTTGAGTTTGGCTTGGTCCTAGTCCTGGTCTTATGAATTGTAAATAGGTCATCCAGCCTCACAAAGATGCAGACAATAGAACAAGGTGGCTGTGAGCCAGTGAGCACTCACACTGTGCTTGAGACCCACCCTCTTCACCTACACTCCAGAATTTTATCTCTTCATTTTTGTCCTATTTGTGAACAAGAATAAAGTAATTTGGAGCAAGGTATCTTACCTTTCAGAGAAGCTCTGAAAATATTATCCCACCATAATTTCAGAAGCTATATGAGCTGTTCTGTTACCTTTTCAGTGCTGAAGAAGAGGCAGAGCTATAATAACTGTAGAAATAGCTTTTATTTTCAATGCTGCTCCTTCAAGGTCATCAGTTCCTTCATGGAAGTTGTGGCCCCTGAAGCAGAAAAAGACTATTTATATGTTGCTCATGTAACCAATCCAGATCCCTGAGCAAATGAGAAGAGAGGTCTCTCCTTAAATCTCAGAGCAAAATAGTTCCATCTTTTACCTATCTAGGACTGTCTGCTAGAATAGTAAGAGAAGCATGATTGAATTAGGAGTAAAATTAGGCAGCAGTGAGTGAGGAAAAATCTTGTCTTTATTCCCTTTAAATATGGGTTAAATTTAACACTAGGAACTGTGGAAGTAAGTAGAACTCCAAAGCTAGAAGAGAACCTTATTTGGGCATCAGCCTAGATAGCCTTGGTCAACCTTGGTCATAGGGACAGGAATACCCAAGTACTTGACCCCAGATGGGTTTTCCAGGAGAACTTGAGTAAGAATGGTTAGATGGTAGTTATAGTCCCCTGCCCAGGCCACTTACATGGGACTGTCAAGTTTGTCAAGTTCTAAGAATGGAGAATATATAAGAAGAGTTAGAAAAATAAACCCATTAACTCTGTATGAGTTGGAAATAAATGCGTAAATGAAGCCTCTAATCACTGGAGTCCTGTACTCAATTCTCAGTGTCACACCTTTGAACTGTAAGAGGGTAAAGAGAGCCTAGTCTGTCACACTCTGGCTCTAAACTGTGAAAAGGCAGCTCAGGAAACTACCTTTCATTTTTCTGACCCATTAGAATTCCTCTCTGGCTGCCACATAGACACAGAGTTGTTCCTTCTACCTTTAAATTGACTGTGGATCCCTTATTTTAGTTACATGATTCCTTGGTTATAGCATAGATGAGCTCATAGAAGGTCTATGGACGCTTCTTTGACTATCTGTGGCCTTCTTTGCCTTGTCAGTGGTAGTTAGTCATTGGTGGTTGTTGGGGATGATAGGTCCCTTCTCCACAAAGTTACAGCCTTGATTAACACTGCAAGGACCAGTCTGGAAGCAGGGACAAGATACTGGGAAAACTTCTGTTCCTGAGCCTTTGGGGACTATCCATCTCTTTGTGGCATTTAATTGTTCATGTAGTATGGGTAATAAGTGCTTTAATTGACAGGTACACTTTGCAAATGTGGAAAGAAATGGTTCTCTCAATTAAATTATCACAGGGGAATTAAAAACAACAGTAATATTTTCTGGTTAACTACTGAATTAAACTTAAGTAGAATAAGTTAATTTGAACTATACATATCAAGTAAAAGAAAACAAAATCAGAATAATGAGGGAGGACAATCCCACCATGCCAGTGGACAGTCGAATTACAGAGAAGATCATCTCTTGACTGGAGGGATCAGAGAAGACTTCTTGGAGGAAATGACATTTAATCTAAGTTTTAAATAGTGAGAGAATATTCCAAAGAACAGAACAGCATGCGCAAAAGGATGGAAGTCAGAAAGTGTGGGTGTCAGGATGAGTAACCATCCATTTTGGTTGGAGCATAGAATTCATTATACAGAATATGGTTTTGTACAAATGAAAATTATTTCACATAATAGAGCAAATAACAAAATGAACATGTTTGAGAAAAAAGTTGGGACTACTTTGGGAATCCATTGGAAGAGAAGGCTCAGGAGTTATGCAAATTCTTCTGCTCCATGACGAATCTGAAGAAGTTCCGGGGAATTGCTTTTGGTACCCTAAAAGCCGGGCCTAAAATAAGCCTATCCAATGGAAATTATCTTGATTTCTGTAGTCTTCCAATAGGAGAAATATAATAAAGATGCCATTTGAATGTAAGATACAGTAAGTCCTGAATAGTTCAAGTAATTTTTAACTTTTACATTCTCTACTTTTTGAAGAACGACACAAATGACCAAAAAAAGATAGTATCATGGATTCAGTTAAAAATAACAACTTCCAAACTATAGCATAGAGTCAGTATACATTCAGCTTAGTCTGTTATTCCTTTCATGTTGCAATGGGAATTGATTTTTTAGAATATAGTTGCCATGCCCAAGCCTTTGGTTTTATTTAACTCCATCTTTGACCTCTGATGACATTAGGGTTCTGAGGGGCTTCTCATATCATCTCCCTCTATTAGAGTGTAAACACTTTAAAAGAAAAAAAGAAAAAGAAATCGACCCCCAAAGCTTTTATAGTTAGTATGGCTTAAATATTCCAAATAATTATGGTTAGGCCACTGTTTTTATGTATTCACTTGACCGATTCTGTATTTTGACAATTCCTTTTGAATAATGCTTTAGTTTCAAATTTTTAATATTTTGTAATTGTGTCTACATGGAACTAGTGAGTCAAGTGCCTTGGCAATGTGTTCTCTATATGTATGTCTCGCTTTGTGCCCACTATTCCCACAGATACTAAACATGTTTTGGGGAGAATATATCCCACTCTTCCAGGGTTTGGGGGGGCGGAAATGTTTTATCACTACTCCTCTTAGTGTGGTATCTTAGTAAATACTTTGCTAAGAGTATATTGGGTCCACTGGCTGATTGTTAATGGTAATGGCTCATAGACTATAATTTTAGGAGTTTACATTGAACCTGAGGTTAGTAGCACTTCTTTGGGGACCAGTCTAGCAATGTTAGTTTGAGTTGGAAGAGCATACCAGAGAGGATTGCTGTCTCCAGAAAGGCAGATGGTGGAGATAACCTGAGACTTTCCAAGGCAGAGTATGAACAATAGCAGTACATGGGTTGGGGGTGGGGGTTGGGGACTTCAATATTGGAGCACAGTATACATAGGTTAATAGGTCCACTGTAGGATCAAGACTGAAAAAGATAAGTGAGACTACAGCAGCAGTTTTAGACTGGGGGAAACACGGAGGAATGGAAGGACTAGAGATCATTATGAGGACAAAGAATGACTTTAAAAGGAGTCAACCAGAGGGAGAGATGGAAGGGCAGGCAATTATCATCAGAGAGGGACATTTTAGAGTTCAGGATCTTTGAGATAACATAGTAATAGGTGACATTTATGGGTGACAGTTACCCTGAAGACGACACACCAGCTTTGGGTGACTGAGGTGGAATGAAGACCTGTTATGAATGTTCAAAAATCAAAGGGTTGAGACATCAATATTGAAATACCCAAGTGGAAAAGCAGGCAGAACAACGATCTGAACTCTTTGATAAGAGTGAGAGCATGAGTCTGAAAGGATAAGAAGTTGTAAATATTTCATACCTATTCAATAGAATATTGGCCTTTTTTCTTTTTTGACTTAATGTCTTTTTCTAGTTCCTCAGACAAGGTATAATCTTGAGTTAAATTTAATCTTTAAATTTTGCCTTGGTATTAAGCTCTCGGTTTGTTTCTCATAATCTGAATTTTTGCTTTGGCTTACATATTTTTACAAGTCTTCATATGCACAGTGTCACGTACCTAAGCTTTGGCTCCAAACATCTGAATAAAAGAAAAAAGAAACACCTATACTACTAAAGAATTGCATAATTTTTCCTTTTCTGATGGTGTTTTCCATCCCATGTCAGTTTGTGCCCTCTGCCAGCTCTCTACCCATTTAGTAAACTCGGAAAAAGAATTCATTGTTCTTGTTATTTTCCTCACAGGTTTTAATAAACATTGTTGTACATTGCAAGGTTCCAAGAAAATCAATGAAATGACTCTTATTTTACAGAGTGATCAGTTATAGGTTAACATTTGTTAATATAATGGAAAATTAGTTATTTTCATTAAAAAGTAATTTAGTTCTATGTTAATACTTTCTAATCATGGACAATATTTAAAGGTTATACTCAGGTGAACATGAGTACAGTGGGCTACATATATCAGGACCTTCAAAGACAACTGGAAAAATTGTGAATGAACTTTTCAAAGAGGCAAAGGAACATGGAGCAGTACCTCTGAATGAAACCACAAGAGCTTCAGGTGATGGTAACAAATCTAAAGTAAGTGACAAATATCATGTTTTTAATTAGACCTTAACTGAAATCTAGAAGGTTACAAGGTTTGCATTTTTATTACTTGTTCCACTTTTGTAATCTTTGTGCATTATAATGCAGGGTCTTTATACATGTTTATTCTTTTTTTTATAAATGTGTATTTCATTTTTTTATTCTTATAGATATTTAAAATAATTGATTTTGTTCAGATTGTCTACAGTGGTTTCATAATTATTAAGATTGGGACATCATGGGTATTTTGAAGAAGGATACTTATATATCTTTATGCTTGTATAATTTATGTGCTCCAAATGAAGCTTAAGTTTTAGTTTTCAGTTCACTACTAACAATCACATTGGAATACTCTCCTAAGAATTTTAAATAACTTCTTGTCAGTGTTGAAGAATAGCTAATGGAACTTTAGGTGGTCTCAAGAAGAGAATATTTAAAATTAATCAGTAACCATCTTCAAGAATATGAATTATGAATATAATGTAGATGAATTCATTATACATGCCATGTTTTTAACTCGTAAACTAAATTACCTTAAATTAGAAAAGCTCCAGATACAGCTGAGCCGTCACATTCAAATAAAAGTGTTTTTAAAGATGAGTTCAATGCCTGTTCCCCAGTATAACATATAAAACCACATGTAAAATTGGAGCTTTCCTGTGGTATCTCTTTAAAATTTGATTGAGGTATTTATTCATTATAAAACCATTACTTTTAAAGTTTTTTGTGATGAATTTAATTTGATGTACTACACACTTAGTAAATAAATGTAAGTGTTTACCCCATTCCCTTTTCTATGCTTAAGATTGTTTAAACTGAATCATCAGCCTTCAAGTCTCTTGGTTTTTCTCCCACAGAGAAATTAACTTATTGCCTTATCACATTAGTTCATTATACCACAATGCCTCTGGTCTAATATTAAACCTCCTTTTTAATTAGATAAATAAGCCTGATTACAAATGATCTAGTTCTTAAATGGTTGTGTTAATTAACATTGAAACTAAATAAAATTTTAGCTTACATATAAATTTAATTTTTTAGTCATTTTTGGGTGGTGGATATCGATTGGGTGACTCCTCTCGAAAGAAATCAGAATATGTCTATGGAGAAAATCAACTACAAGATGTAAGTGAAATATTTGAAATTTGCAATTTTCAAAAAACAACTTCTTGTTACCAGTATTTTATGGTTTATGGAATATCATGATTTTACTTTAGATCGAAGATTTTTTTGTTTAGTTGGGGGTTTTGGTTTGTTTTATATATTTAAGAATGTTTATAGGATTTTTGAATTTTTCACAGGATTTTAGAATCATAGATTTAGAGCTGGAAGCGATATTAATGGGCCTCTAATCACTAGATCATTTCATTCCCCCATCATTTTACAGATGAGAAAACTTAGGCCAAGGAGGATGTGACTTGCTCAAAGTCACACTGGGAATAAGTGGAAAAGTTAGAATTTGGAACGTAGGCCTTTTACTGCAAACCTAGTACAACTTTACACTACACTGTACTCTTCCTATAAAACGTCATTTTGAATCCTTACCACCAACTCAGTCTTGCTCTTTTTAAAATTGTTCAAAGTAAAATTTATAACTAAAAATAACTTATAAGCTATATACTGTCCAAGTCTGTGTTATTTACGTTGATTGAGTCCATTTGTAAAGATGAAGGCTTCAATAAGCACTTAATAAACTTAGGCTACTTGTTGATATTGAGGTCCTTCAGTTTTTTAAGTCATTCAACAGTCTTTTTTTTTTTTTTTTTGGTGAGGCAACTGGGGTTAAGTATCTTGCCTAGGGTCACACAGGTAGTAAGTGTCAAGTATCTGAGGCTGGATTTGAACTCTGGTCCTCTTGACTCCAGGACCAGTGCTCTGTTCACTGCACCACCTAGCTGCCCATCATTCAGCAGTCTTGGTGCTAGCTATTGTTGGAACTTTAATCTTACCTTGATATGCTTTATCTCTGTAGAAAAATCTGTCAGGATCCTAAATGAAACTCAGAGAACATTTACTGCAAAAATATTTCAAATAGTCCAAAGGAAGGAGAAAAAAACCTAATATTTTTAAGTTTATAAATAAATCAACAAAAATGTTTAGGAAACACCACTTATAAATGGCTTATAATGTTGCAAATGGCAAAATCTCAGCTATTCAAATCAATTACTACCATTTTTTTAAAAAATAATAGCCAGTATTCATATAGCACTTTTAAAGTTTGTAAAGGGGTGTGTGTGTGTGTGTGTGTGTGTGTGTGTGTGTGTGTGTGTGTGTGTGTGTGTGTGTGTGTGTAGTTTGATCCTCACAACAACTCTGTGAAATAAATCCTGGAGTTATGATCTTCATTTAACAGCTGGGGAAATGAATTGAGAAAGAGTAAATGAGTTGCATATAGCTAAGTCAGTCTTAGGACTTGAACTCAGAACTTCCTGATATCAAGACCAGTGCTCTATGAGTTGTGTTCCAAGGTCTTTGAAGTCACTTCGAATGCTGAATCTGTTAATGCTCAAACATATTTTTAAATTACTCAATTTCTTGTTTGTAGCAACAGGCTGGTTGATTACATTTATTAATTATAAGGACTATTATAGCAGATTGTTAAATTGCCTTACGGTTTTTTCAGCAGTTTGCATCTTCCTACAGTGAAGCTAGTAGGAAATAATATATTATGTATTAAAAGCTGTTCATCCCAGTAAGCTGTGAGAAGAGATCCTATTGTCACTCTCTTTTATGCAAATTCCACTGTTTATCAAAATGGTTTTGAAATTTGATGGCAGGAATTGCAAGTCTAACAAAACTCAAATGCCACAGGGAGGATATCTTGTAAAAGAGCACATTAGAGGATCCTTGATTAGTTCTTAAGCTGATGTAGGCTCAGAATTAAGCTGGGCTTGAGATGCTTGGACATAACAGATGATGCTTTTAAGATACAGTGCTTTCCTATTAACAGTAAGTTATCACTGACTAAATGAATTGCAACCCTTTAAGGAATTTTAAGAACCTTTATGATTCCTAAAGAAAACAATCACATTTTAATGTTCCAGTTAGAGAAGAATGTTAAGTGCAATTTAGGAATGATATTAAGTTTAAATTTGTATGTTGTGTAATTTAAAATTACACTTCAACTATTAAGGTAAATAAATGAACTATGGTGCTAGGAAGCAAAAGGAAAAAAATGTAAAAATTAGAATGAAGAGAATCAGGGGAGAGGGGGAGGAACTTGAGTTTACAGTCTTAATGATGTCAATGTCATGCCATTTCATGGGAATGCAGCAGTTCTTAGAGTTGTTTTTAATTGCCTGTAATCACTGGCGTAGGAGGTTTCTCCAACTAGAACTCCTGTACCATTGAAGTCTTGTCCCCCAAAATAATTCCTATTCTATGCCTTATATCCCCAGTAACCCTCAGGGGCTTCATATTAGAGTAGTGGGAACTAAATTCCATAATGTGACTGATTGATGGTTGTAGAAACTACTCTTTGCAGTCCCCTTTCCAATATCATTCAGGGATTTTGAAAGGTGGTAGTGTGAGCAAGATGAAATATAATTTACATAACTAATACTGCAAAAGAAGATATTATTCTTTTACTACCTAGTTCAGAGAATTGTGAGAGAATAATTTATAAATTATTAAAAAATGCATGTATGTATATACATCATCTGCTTCATTATTATAAATTGATAAGCCAGCTCTGAGTAATAAAAAGTTGAATGTTTACTCTTGATTGCTTAATTGCGTTAAGTAATTGACTTGAAACCAGGTCATGAAAAATATTTGAAGGAACTGAGCACATTTAGCCTAGTGAGTCAAGACTTCAGTGTATCCTAATGTCTGCTTCAAATATTATAGTCAGCAAGGTGGTTCATAGAATGCTAGACTTGAAGTAAGAAGACCTGACTGTGAATCCTGCCTTAGGTCATATACAAACTGTGTGACCCTGGGTAAGTCATCTAACCTTTTGTGCCTCAGTTTCTTCATCTGTAAATGAGATAGTAGTAACACCTACCTTTTAGGATTGTTGTGAGGACCAAATGAGATGGCATATGTAAAGCACTTTGTAAAACCTTACAATGCTCTATAAGTGCTAACTATTATTATTAAAAAGGACTACCCAGAAAAAGGATTAAACATTTTATGTAACTGCAGAGGATAAGACTAAGGCTAATAGGTAAAAATCACAAAGAGGCAGAAATAAGAAAGAACTCAGTAATAGTGAAGGCTCTCCAGAAATGGAGTTGGCTTTCACGTGAAGTTATGAACTTCCCATTATTGTGTCCTAGATACAGACCTGGAAAGGACCTCAGAGGCCATCAAGTGTAGTACCTTTACTTTACAAACGATGAGGATGTGGCCTAGGGAGGTTAGTGATTTGTCTAAGGTAACAATAAATTTCACAAATCTTACATGTGCTTACAATTGTAATACTCTCCCCTCCATTACTCCCCCAGTTCCCACTCTGAAGCTGGAACCTAAGAGGATGCCTACTACCCTCAGGTTCTAGGCATAACTTTATAGGGTTTTACTTCTCACCCTCAATCCCTTGGACCCCCACTGGTTTGTTTCCCATTAACAAATAATTAGTAAGCTTAATTAGCTTTTAGGAAAAGTATTTACTAAAATGACATAGTAAGAACACTTGGTACAGAAATTTTCCCCTCAAATCTGGGTCTTACTCTTCCCCAAATATGCACTACATCCATGGAAAGAGTGGATTCAGACTTAGAGTACAGTGGTGGTAAGGCACACAAGTAGGAAATACACGTGACAGATGAGTAAATCACAACTCCTGGTACTGTCGGTAGACCTTTCTTCTTTCATAGAATCCTCACACAACTCTCCTTGAGTGTAGATCTCTGACTGGCAGACTACTCATCTGGGCCCCAAGGAAGAATTTCTTTCTTGGGTCCATATCCAGTAATTTTCTCTGCTGTGAGGGGTAATGTTCCCTTGTGACAGTTGCATTCCTTAGGTAACTTCTTTCTGCACCCATCTGACTTCATTATGTCCCGCTACACCCAATTCAGACATTTCCCTTGTCATCAGCTACTGCCAATGCTGCAATATCACAACTGTCACACCAAATCCTACCAGGACATTCAGACCTTTTCAGAACTTTTAAGGTTGCCTGGACACGTCTAACTTGAGATGTTTGTTCACCAAAATTCAAAAAAGAATGAATACTAAGAGAGGTAGTAACATGCTTGTGGTTGCCATGGTCAAATAAAGGAATGAGGCTAACTATCCCTCCCCTTACCTAATTCTTGGAAAGTAGCTCACTTATAGCCATGAAGGAAAAAATGCTACAGAGAAGCGAGTTGCTTCTGTTGCATATCTGTCGAGTTCTGGCTCAGCAATTAGGGAATTCTTTGACATCTCCCATTGCAAATTCCTGAATCATCTGCTCTTCCAGCTCAGCAGCCAATTATGGGACTCTTCATCGTCTCACAGTTTAAATCTTTCAGTCACAAATGACCAAAATCATGCCCCCAAAGTTTCATGTGGTAACCTGGACCGAAGCGGAGAATTTCTATACGTGCTGTGTGGGCCAGGCTATCCATATTAAATGTTTCATCTTTCTGGTATATCTGCTAGAGGGCCCTCTTCTAAAAGTAGAATGATTATTTGCCTTAATGATTATTTCATCCTTCAAAAAGCTGAAGAACAAACATCAATCTCTCTTGGATCTCTTTCACCACCAGGGAAGAGCTGGTTGCTCAGATAGAAATTATAAGACCCTTGAGGGGAAACTGACCACTTCATCTTATAGTTTGTGATAGAAAAGGAAAGGAAACCTGGAAATGGCCTGATAGGCACCCTTTATTTTGGAGAGCATATTTTAAAGATTCCAAAGAAAGGATAGGTACAATTCTATGATCTAATGTGCTACAAGGGAATTCAGCCTAGGAGGGATAGGGAACTCTGAAGAATGAAATCCTCTAGACTGAAAAAGAAACAATTCTAATGAGGAAGAAATGGAGGAATTGTCCAAAGAGACCAGTGTGGTTGCATAGGGAATGCCCTATTCAAACTAGATCTTAAATAATTCAAATCTCTGATGATACTCACTTGGAAGTCCCCTCCAATGAAGCAGATTGTTGCCCACATATGCCTTTCTATCTTGTGCAAGTCTTGTCTTGTTCTCATATATATTTGTCATTGCCCACCAGTATTCAAGCAACCTTCCTTACAGTCTGCTGATGGTATGAGGATAGCAGTAAAGCACTCCTGCTGACCATCTACCATCCCTTGCTCTTGTTTATATAACCAGACCATCTTCTCTTCCTCTCAGTTCTTTGACGATGTCTTTTACTCCTGCTTGCCTCGGGTTCTTCATTGGTTATATGTGGTGGCCTCTTCATATCCACCATGAGCCTCTCCATTGCCCTTGGTGTAGTATTAATTTTCTAATTCCTTGGAGAACATCATATTCTATGTCTTGCTCCTATATAGCAGCACTGAGTAGAATGTAGATGTTAAAAAGATGGGCCTTTGCTTACATGGGAACTTTGGGGTCAATAAAAGAACTTTGTAAATTTTCTGATTGCCATCCAAGGTGCTCTCCTCCTGTTTAACTCTGAACCAAACTCATTGTGCATCTGTATTGTCTGTTCCAGATACAAGCTCTACAGGTTGTTTGTCCAAATATGTTTTATAACCTGGGTAATAGACATTCTTCATCAGCTTGGTTTTACCTATGTGCATAGTCAAGACGAATTCTCTTGAGTGATTATAGATCTCTTCCAGGAGGCTCTGCAATGTTTTGGGGCTTGATGCAATCAGCACAGTGTCAGTCTGCAGACAGGAGCATATGGAGGATCTCACCATCCCTAAGGAATCCCTCTTTCATCCGGACTCTGCACTAAATCTCTTCCTTCACAGTAGTGAATACTTTTGGTGAGCATACATCTCCCTGTTTTATGCCTCGCCTGATGTTTATTGTCAAATGGCCATTGAAGAGGGTTATTTCTTTTGTTTTATCTTCCAGAGAGTCTTGAATGATTTTGATGAATGGAGGGGAAACAATATGTTATTTAAAAAAAACCTGTAAGGAAGCATTTTATTCTGCTGATTCACATGTTTTGAATCAGCATAATCAATATTGAGTAAGCACAGGGATCTAAGTGTGGTCTGTTATTGAATATCACTTCCATAAGCCTGCTTGTTCCCTATTAATACCCTCATCAAGGATACCCTCAATTGTATATAGATGACTCTCATAAGGATTTTCTTTAGATAGGAAAGTAGGGATATACTTGAATAGTTATTGATATTCTCTTAGTTGCCTTTTTTAGTATGGATAAATTCTAAGATTTTTTCCATCCTTTTAATTTTTCTCCTCTTTCAGATGCCCAGTATATAGGACCTTCATTGCCCTCGCAATTACATCACCTTCAGCATGGATCTCCTCTCTATACATTTGATATATTCCAGTGACTTGCCCCATCTCTATAGTGCTATTTCTATTTCCTTTGAAAGTATATCTGGGACTGCAGTATTGAAGTCCAAATGTGGTAGTTTCATTATCCTTGATGATGAAAACTATTAAATGATTTCTAAAAACCTTTTCCATTTTTCTTCTGTTCATAGTTTTCCTTCTGTTTTCATTCCTTTAATGCACCTGAGATAATTTTGATTAATCGGATATCTTGCCAAGCCTTCTTTAAACTGGTTTTTACCTTACACTGCATCTCTTTGCTTTATGAGATGATTCTTCTGATAATTGTCCATAATCCTCTGTGAGATTTTACAAATTAATTTTTATTCTTACTTAGTGTTGCCTTAGAGATGATTGACAGCCATCTTTATTTGGCAAATAAAACAGGTGTTGCTGACTAATGTGCTTTCTGGCCTCTTTTTGGTCTCTTTTTTGTGGTAATTTCTTTGCAGAACTAATTGCATTTCATCCTTAGCAACTGATGTGTTAGGTAAGCTGCAGTTATTTTCATGGTGGTCTTTTTGCCAGTCTTTATCATTTGTGTTACAATACATGAATGACAAAACTTCTCATGTGGTAATGTTTCTTGTTACCTTGGGGCATATGGTAAAATCCACTCCATCAACTACTTTCTTTGCATCTTCAGAAAGTATAGCAATGAGCCATCTTTCCATTTTGCCACACCTTCCTCTTTTTTTCTATTCTCATTTATAACAAGAATGTCTAGATTCTTTTGATTGGATTTTTTCAGTAATGTGTTCTCATTAATCATTGGACAAGCATCTCACATTTAGAATACCAAAAGGCAAATTAAAATTTGTTGACATACTGAAAACTGATTTTTAGTACCCTCTAACACCTTTCACCTCTCTGCCACCATTACTGAAGATGTAGAAGCAGGGTTATAGAAAACTAAAAGACACTTTTTTCTTTGTTTCATTAGTTGCTAGGCCAAACAGATTCATTACTAGTTGGCCAGCCTACTGCTATTGTGTCTTTCCTTAGTTAGCTGGGCTGATACTTGGAAAACAGATTCATCCTGTTGCCAGACTTATATGCTAAGCCATTCCAGCATAATAGAGTTCACCAGAGTTTATGCTCTGCTTGCCTAGCCCTAGAGAACTCATAATTGCCTCCATATCAGTGTAAAACTTTGTGTAGGTAGATTTTTAAATGTTCATGTACAAAAGCTAGAATGAAAAAAACAACAAACAGGTTCATTTGACAAAAAATAAATCTATACTATGTGCCAGGCCCTATCTCAGACACTTGGGATATAAATGCCAAAAATAAAATAATCGCTGTACTCAAGGAATATACATTCTAATGGGAGAGAACAAGTACATATGTAGGTATATATAGAATAAATATAAGCAGAATAAATATAAATAAATGTGGTAGTTAAGAAGTGAGGGCACTAGTAGTTGGGGGAATCAGGAAGGGCTTTATGTAGAAGATGGTACATGAGCATAAGTGCATGGCATAATACTGTAATAATAGTGTCAGGAATGCTAAAGGTCAGAATGAGCTGGGACTGGTGGAGAAAACGAAGAGCAACAGAAAAAGGTTGTTGGTGTTATATTCTCTTTGAGGGGCTGAAGTGTGTTTTGGTTTGGGCATGGTTTTTTAAAATAATTTTTGGAGAAAAGAAAATCAAAGGGCTAGGAACACTCAAGTTGAATGGAATGATTATAACTAGGGATTTTGAAGCAGAGGCTAAATGACTCAGTCCTATTGTATTGTATACGGAATTCTTTTTCAGGTTTGTATTTTACTAGGTAGACATTGAGGTCCCTTCCAACTTTGATATACTGGAAAATTATGAATTGGAAAGTATGTGTATATTTCAGCACAGATTAGAATAAAGCATAGTACCAAAAAAAAGTATCACTCATTTGACACAGTGCACTTTTATAAAACCCACCCTTATTAGATATCTCATCCAAGTTATTGATTGTAAGACTAAAGTTGATTTTAATATTTTAAGTAAGTTATATAGTTTATTAGTTTATTATATAGTTTTACCTCTAAAGACATTGTCAGGACTCCATGACCCACGAGTAATTTTGGCAAGTTATATCCATTCTGTTATTCAGATATATAATCTGCCAAGCAAAAGAACGGTTTCTGATATGTTTTGTCTTTTGGCTCTGATATAAATAATAGTGTGTCCTGTCTTAGATTAAATAAATGACTCAGTGTGTTGTTAGATAAGTTAATATTTGAAATATGGATAGTTATTTGTCCAAAAGATATCATTTTTACATGTTTAATTATTTGTTTTTGCTCAATAGGTTCAAATTTTGCTCAAACTTTGGAGCAATGGCTTCAGTTTAGATGATGGAGAATTAAGATCTTATACTGATCCAACAAACGCCCAGTTTCTAGAATCTGTTAAAAGAGGGTAAGATATATATTGGTGGTAATCTATCTTTTATGCAGTATTGAAAAATGGGGACTTTTTTTTTTAATTAGACCATTATGATTCAGTATGAAAACTTAAGAGTTTTCACGGAGTGGCTACTAAAATGTCAAGCATTTGATATACTAGGAAAAGTCATTATGTGTTTCTCCCTAATTAAGTGGTTACTTCCTGAACACGTAGCTTATTTTACTCTTTAATTTATCCACTATAAAGCTGTCAATGTTTCAAATACTTATGTACTATAGGAGCTCTGTCAGAGTTACTGGAAATACATTTGGGAAGTAAGAGGGAGAATCATTGCCATTTCCTGAAAATTCACAACGAATTGTTTCATAAGAAGTGGTTTGTTTCTAAGGGAGAGACTTTTATTTCTTTTATGCCAAATCTGTTTGATATTGATGATTTAATACTATTCACTAAATGGATTAGAATGTAGCTTCCCACCCACTAAGCCACTCTCCTGCTTACTGTTGACAGGGTGACTCTCAGTGCATGTATGCCTGAAATTCAGCAACTTATGTTAGAAATCTATTAAGTGGCATTTACTACTGGCAGAAGATTTCAAAAGGTTAGTGCAAGAAGAGGATAAACTCTAGATATTTTCAGTTTTTTTTAAAAATATAAACAATCAAATTATACTCAGATACTCTGTAGTTAGGAACTTCATAAGGGGGTTATTTTGAAGCCCTGATCAAATATTAATTGATAACAATATAATTTGTGTTGTACCCTTTTTTTTCATTGAATTTTATTTTATTTTTGGTTTCAAATTCTCTTCCTCTTCCCCACAACCTCTTCCATCCATTGAGAAGGCAAGAAATATAAAACCCATTGCAAATACAAAGCTGTGCAAAACAAATTTCCACATTAGCCATTCCCCTCTCCCCCCAAAAAAGAGAGAGGGGAAATTATGCTTCAGTTTGTAGTGCATCATTTGTCAGTATGGAAATGAATAGCATTTTTCAGTGAGTCCTTTGGAATTGTGGTGGGTCATTGTGTTAATAAGAATTAGTAAGTCTTTCACAGTTAATTATATTTATGAAATTGCTGTTACTGTGTAGATTTGGTTCTGCTCACTCTACTCTGTATCAGTTCATTAAAGTCTTCACATATTTTTCTGAACCTATGACCTTCATCATTTTTACAGCACAATTGCATTCTATCACATTATATACCATAGCTTGGTCAACCATTCCCCAATTGATGGGCATCCCCTCAGTTTCCAGTTTTTTGCCACCACAAAAAGAACTGCTATGATTATTTTTGTACAAATGGATCCTTTTGTTCATTTTTTCATCCCCTGGGGTAGCAGTATTGCTGGTTTTTCATTGAACAATTTCATAGCTTTTTGGGCATGATTCTAAATTGCTTTCTGAATAGTTGGATTGGTTCACAGCTCCACCCACAAAGCATTAATGTACCTATTTTCCTATATGCCCTCCAGCATTTGTAATTTTCCTTTTCTGTCATTTTTGCCATCTGAGGGGTGTGAGGTGGTACCTCAAAGTTGTTTTAATTTGCATTTCCCTAATTTTTAGTGATTTAGAGTAGTTTTTCGTGACTATTGATAGATTTTATTTCTCCTTCTGAAAACCACCTATTCATATCCTTTGACGACCACTTACCAGTTGGAGAATGGCTCTTATTCTTATAAATTTGACTCAGTTTCCCTGTGAAATGAAACCTTTATCAGAGTAACTTGTGAAAGATTTTTCCCAGTTTCCAGCTTTTCTTCTAATGTAGGTACATTTTTTTTTATTTTATGTAATGAAAATTACCCATTTTACCTTCTTTGAAACTCTTTTGGTTATGTTGCACCCTATTAAACACTTCATATGTGTGAGCCGTATTTGCTGTGCCTTTTACAAAGCTATGGAAGTATAAAATTGTATTTATCTCTAGGAAAAGTATCATCAGAACTAGACACTTTTCTAAAGGCTAAAATGGTTTAAAATATTCTCCTGAAGCAGGAAAGAATTTCTGTTATCATGTCCCTAGGATGCCACTAGAATATCAAAGGGGATGAATCTTTGTTATCAAAGAGGATAAGAGCCTAGAAGAGAATTTTAACCAAATTTTTTTTACCTTGAAGAGCGAGAATAGTGAGAGACTAAAGAAATCCGTGACAGAGTTTAGGTAATGCCAGGTCAAAAAAACTTAACCCCTTTTCTACAGTATAGTATAGTCACCTGCCTTCAGTTGTGGGATGAAGATGGAAATTTCCCATGGTTTTCAGTGCAACATTTTAAGCCCCTGAGAAATGACAGAAATTCCTTCAGCTATATTTCCAAAGGAACTTGCCAGGTTTCATAGTATGAGTGATTGAGCTAGAATACTTTCTTTCCTTTCTTCATTACAGAAGAAGCCTCAAGACTTCCATCTAAAAAGTTATACGCCTCAATTGTTGACTAGTTAGTAATTGTCAGGTTTTTCACTTTCTGTCACCCTCCATATTAATTTCGTTCACAAGTCTTGTTGATTGTATTCCTCACAATCTTTTTCATTCATTACCTTTTCTGCACACATCAAACACATCCTGGTCTAGGCTGTCATCACTTCTTCCCCAAACTATTGCAATATTCTCCTAATTTACCTCTGTGCTCTCCACTCTGCAATCCATCCTCCAAACAGTTGACAAATTGATACTCTTAAATTGCATGTTTAATCATGCCACTTCCCTGCTCAAGAGTTTCAGTGGTTTCCCGAGTTTTTAGACTAAAATACATTCTTCTTTTTGGCATTAAATGGCCTTTACAAATTGGCTCCAGCCATTCTTCCCTTTCTTTTTTAAAAAAAACATTTCTTTTTAATTACTTGTAAATTAACATTCGTTTTTTATAGTTTTGAGTTCCAAATTTTCTCTTTTCCTGCCTCCTCTCACCCCTCATCGAAAAGGCAAGCAATTTGATATAGGTTATACATGTGCAGTCATACAACATGTATTTCCATATTAGTCATCTTGTGAAAGAAAGCAAAGACCAAAAAAACTTCAAGAAAAATAAAGTTTAAAAAAAAGTATGCTTCAATCTGCATTCAAACTCCATCAATTCTTTCTCTGGAGGTAGATAACATTCTTCTTCATAAGACCTTCAGAAGTGTTTTAGAGAATAGCTGTCATTCATAGTTGATCATCATACAAATTTCACTTTTACTGTGTGCACTGTTCTCTTGGTTCTGCTCACTTCATTTTGCATCAGTTCATGTAAAGTCTTTCCAGGTTTTTGTGAAAGCTTCCTGCTCGTCATTTCTTATGGCAAAATAAAATTCCATCACAATCATATACAGCTTGTTCAGCCATTCCCCAGGTGATGGGCATCCTCTCAATTTTCAATTCTTTGCCACCACAGAAAGTGCTGCTATAAATATTTTTGTACAAATAGGTGCTTTTCCTTTTTTAAAAAAAAAAAACTCTTTGGGAAAAAGACCTAGTAGTGGTATTGCTGAGTCAAAGGGTATGCAAAATTTTATAGCACTTTGGGTATAGTTACCATTTATCAATTGGGGAATGACTTGTTTTCTTAAAAATTTGACTCTCTTCTCTATATATCTGAGAACTGAAACTTCTATCAGAAGAACTTGCTATAACATTTTTTACAGTTATGATTATTCACTCTGTATTTCTTTCTATTCTGTTTTCATCCTGTTTATTCTCTCTCCTTTCACCCAGTCCCTCCGCAGAAGTGCTTTGATTCTGACCACTGCCTCCCACAATCTACCTTCCCTTCTGTCACCCCTTCCCTTCCCTTCCTTCTGCCTTTTAGGGTAACATAGGTAACATAGATTTCTATACCAAACTGAGTGTGTATGTTAGTGCATTTGAGCCAGTTCTGGTAAGATTAAGATCCAAGCATTGTCCACCACACCTCCGCCATCTTCGCCTCCACTGTAAAAGCTCTTTTGTGACTCTTTGATGTGAGATAATTCACACCATTTTACCTCTGCCTTCTCCCTTCTCCCAGTGCTTCCCTCTTTTTCACCCCTTCATTTTATTTTTTTAAACATCATCCCATCATAGTCAACTAATACCCATGCTCTCTGTCTATGTATACCCCCTCTAACTGCCCTAATAGTGATAAAATTCTTAGGAGTTACAAGTATTTTCCCATGTAGGAATGTAAACAGTTTAATCTTATCAAATGCCTTTTGATTTTTCTTTCCTTTTTTTTATGTTTCTCTTGAGTCTTACATTTAAAAGTCAGATTTTCTATTCAGGTCTTTTCTGGTCTTTTCATCAGGAATACTTGAAATTTTTCTGTTTCATTAAATATCCATTTTTCTCTGAAGGATTATACTCAATTTTGCTGGGTAGGTGATTCTTGGCTATCTGGAATATCAAATTCTAAGCCTTGTCTCATCCGTTAATGTAGAAGCTGCTAAATTTTGTGTTATCCTGACTATGGCTCCATGATATTTGAATGGTTTCTTTCTGGCTGCTGCAATATTTTCTCCTTGACCTAGGAACCCTGGAATTTGATTATAATATTCCTAAGAGTTTTCATTTTGGGATTTCTTTCTGGTGGTGATTAGTGAATTATTTCGGTTTCTATTTTACCCTCTGGTTCTAGAATATCAGGGCAGTTTTCCTTGATAATTTTTTGAAAAAAATGTCTGGGCTCTTTTTTTTTAATCATGGCTTTCAAGTAGTCCAGTAATTTAAAAATTTCTCTCCTCAGTCTATTTACCTGGTCAGTTGTTTTTCCATTGTGATATTTCACATTTTCTTCTATTTTTTTTCTTTTCTTTTCTTTTTTTTTTTTTTTGGCTAGGCAATAGGGTTAAATGACTTGCCCAGGGTCACACAGCTTGTAAGTGTCAAGTGTCTGAAGTCAGATTTGATCTCAGGTCCTCCTGACTCCAGGGCTGGTGCTCTATCTGCTGCGCCACCTAGCTGCCCCATGTTTTATTGTTTCTTGATATCTTGTGCTATGTTCCACTTACCTAATTTTAATTTTTAAGGAATTCTTTTCTTCTGTGAACTT